AAAGTTATTAAACCTTTCCATGCAACACAATTTCCATAAAATTGATAAACTACTGATAGAAACAAATTTTCGGTGAATTGAAAACTTTACCAGATTAGATTACGGTGCTCAAAACCAACAATTTTTAAACTTGATAACTTTGGAAAACTTGATGAATTGAGCCTCTGGGAGCTTGGTCACTGGGTGACCTGTCTTCAGTAAACAGACTTTCAGCTAACTGCCTAATTCCTGGGTGTAGATAAAGATCAGGAGGGTAGAGAATTGAGAAGACCAAGTTTATAGCCTTTTCTTTTTTTTGAGAAGTAGGAGGAGGTGAGGTTAAGTGCTTATAACAAGAGATGAAGATGATACAAAAGAGTTTAAGAGAAGTGTAGAACACTTGAGGGGTCAAGAGATGGTAGGATTGAGCAATTTACGACTGTATAGTTGTGTTCAGGACCGAATTTTGTTGATCCCATTGTCAGTGGTTGTGTAATACATTTTAGTTCCGAGCAGCTTAGTGATGACTGCACAGGACTAACCTGGTAATTCATAAGTAGGTGGGAGAGAAAGATATGGGGTTGAGTAGGAGCTACCATGAGAACAGATGAAGTGTTGGATCATGATATCCAAACTAAAGAAAGAAAGGCCTAGTACACACAGGCAGAAAAGAGTTCAGATTACAGTTTCTAGAGTTTGAAAATTTGATATATGTGCAAAGGGAATGAGAGACCCAGAGGCCAGAAGCTGGGTTTAGAGAATGAGATTCTGGAGCATAAAGCTTTCGGGGTAAAGTAGATCTGGTCACGAAAGGGTCAAAGGCCTGGTAAACAGAATGGGCTGGAGAGATGGGCTTCAGGAGGAGAGAACAATAAAGAACTATGGAGCCAGCACCTTGAATGGAGCATCCCAGGCTGGGATGGTAAGACTCTATGCCTAAGACTTGAATGAAGGTGTGAATGATCAGGAGCTGTCTTCTCCCACCTTCACCCCCAATTGGCTTGTGCAATGAATGGCCCAGTAAGTTATTAAAAAAGAGGGATGTGGGAAAGTGGTTCTTAGTATTATAAAACCCTTTCAGAGCTTGGACTATCCTGTACTTGCTCCTATCTCTGCTAGCTCCATGTTGATTTCTCAGTCATGTCTGGAATTCCTGATATTTTGTCTATCTTCTCTAGCCCATCCTGCTAAATCTGATTCATTTTGTGACTAGCTCTGGGCTACACACTGCATGTTTTCTCCTCAAAGGCAGACATGTTCAAAGTGCAGGCTTGCCAACTGATTTCCTGTGCACTGGGCCAGCAGGTGCTTTAGACATCCACTAGCAGTTAAGGCCAAGAACATCAGGAGGAGGTGGTACAACCAATGTCTTGAGTTCTCAAGAAAAGAGGCTTTACATAAAGGTGGTAGAAGCCACAGTAGGGAATGAGAAAGATCTCCAGCCCCTTTGCCCTCAACATAAAATTTTGTACTTTTCCCTTAAATTTGTCTAAATCCTTAATTGTCTATCTCCATAACTAAGACCTGGCAAAAGTACTCATTATAAAATTGTCTTAGTCTATCTGGGCTATTATACAAAAATATCACAAGCTGGGTTATTTATAAACAATAGAAATTTATTTCTCATCGTTCTGAAGGATGGGAAATCCAAGATCGAGGTACTGGCATGGTTAAATTCTAGTAAGGACCCTCATTCAATTTCATAGCTGGCATCTTCCCACTGTGCCCTCTTTATAAGAACAATATTCCCATTTGTGAGGCTTCTGCCCTCAGGACCTAACCACCTTCCAAAGGCCCCACCTCCCAATACCATCCAATTGGGCTTAGGAGTTCGTTCTTAAAATTTTTTCTTACTTATTTATTTGCACTGGTCTTTGTGACATCCAGGGTCTTCGATCTTCATTGTGGCATGCAGGATCTTTAGCTGGGGCATCTTTTTTAGTTGTGGCATGAGAGCTCTTAGTTGCAGCATGTGATCTAGTTCCCCGATCAAACCTGAGCCCCCTACACTGGGAGTGTGGAATCTTAGTCACTGGACCACCAGGGAAGTCCCTGGGCATTAGGATTTCAACATATAAATTGGGGGGGGGGGCACATAAACATTCAGACCATAGCAAAAAATGAATTCATTGATCTTCAAAATTTACTGTTTAAATCTCCTTTCCCCTCAAGTTGCTGCTGTTATCTCAATCTCCCCCGACTCCTTAAGTCTTTACTGAATTTGTTACAATACTGCTTGTTTTATGTTTTGGTTCTTGACTGTAAGGCATGTTGGATCTTAGCTCTATGACCAGGGATTGAAACTGCACTCCCTTCCCACCTGCCCCCGGCATTGAAAGGCAAAGTCTTAACCATGGGACTGCCAGGGCAGTCCCTGTCCTCCCTTTTCACTGTCACTGAACTTTTCTAGTTGTTTTCACGGTTTCTGCTTTTGCCCCTCTCAAGAGACTGCTCCACTAGAGGTCACCAGTGAATATTTTCAAGCCAGATGGCCAAAGATACTCATTATAATAACTACTATTTGGAGCCTGGCCAACATCAGGTTCCAAGAATACAAAAATTATCTAGTGTCTGTCCCCAGCAGCTCAGAATCTGAAGATGTTTCTGACCCCACATCCCCTGGATTTTGAGACACCAGTGTTCTAGCTGTAGTTCTTGTCACCCTCCTCAGAGGGCTTCTTTTTCTGTCTGGCCTTTGAATGTTGACTCTATCCTTTTCCTTTTACTCTATATTTTTTGTCTGGGAAATCTCATCCAGTCCAGTTGCTTCAGTTTCCACCTATGTGTGTGATTCTCACATGTGTATTGCTATCTTAGATATATCCTCTGAACTCCAGAACAACTCTCACAAGACAGCTCTGTAACATGAGTATGTTTACAGCAAAGCTCATCTCAGATCTGCTTCTCCTCTGCTGTCTTCATTCGCTGTGAATGGAATTACTTCACCCAACTGTCCAAGCAGGAATGTGGTATCGTGCTTGCCTCTTAACTTCTTCCTCTACCTCATGACGCACACGTGATATCTAGTCTATTCTATCTCCTCTATACCTGTTTCATCTGTTGGCTTCTCGCCATTCCCTCTGCTTCTGTCCTAGTCTAGCCTTCCCTCAACACCCCTTGGATCCCTTAACTAGCCTCTTATTCGATTTCCTTGCTTCAAGTCTTGTCCCCGAACCCAACTTCCGTTCTGATGCAAGAATGATCATTCTGAATTGTAAATCTGATCCCTTTTCTATTCATTTAAAAATCCTAGAGTGGCTTCCCCTAGTCTTCAGGATAAAATCCAAGCACTTTATCATGTCTTACAGGGCCCTTTGTAACCTGATCTTGCCTGGTTTTCTCGCTTCATTTCCTCCACTTCATCCTCAAAACTAAATCCCAGATGTACCAAATTACTTACTTGGACTTTCTCAACCACTCCATTCTGTTTCATAATTCAGCACACTTCCACCTGCAGATCTTGCTGCCTGGAATGCTCTCCTAGGGGACCTTTCTACCCAACACTTGATGAATGCCTACTCAAGTCTTCAAGATTCAGCCCTAGCATTGTTTCTTCTGAAAAGTTCCTTACTGATCTCCTCCTTTCTTAATACTCCAGTATGCCTTGTGCACACCACTTTATTCGCTATCCATCTTACTATCTTGTGCTTATTCATGATTTGTCCCTCCAAATGGCCTGTTGGGCCCTGGAGGAGTCATCCCTGTATTCTCTATACCAGCACCATGCTTTGAATGAAGAAGGACTATGTTTGCTAAATTCATTTGGTAATTGATTTTTGAGTCTCTCCTATGTACAAGGAAGACACTGTACTGGGTACTGTGATGAATTTTGCAGGTTCCCTTTCCTCTTTGAAAGGCAATTTCTCAGTCTCCTTCATAGATTCTGTATCCTGTCTGTCCCCTAATGTCTGACCTCAGTCTCCTTTCCTTCTGCATATATACCCTGAGTCATCCCATCCATTTCCTTAGCTTTAACTGCCAAGAACTCTCAAATCTCTTTTCCCAGGGAAGAACTCTTTCCTAAACTCCACACGCTCCCAGGCATCTCAAACTCAGCACATACAAAACTGAACTATTTTTCTTTTCCTTTGTTCCATATGGGATAAAAGGAAAGGTTAATTGTAGGAAACCTTCTGAGACCAGTTTAAGAAAAAGCAGTCAGAAATTAAGTCAGGACAATGGGATTGAATTTTCAGTTACATCTCTAGGTACAGCTTTCGCATTTTCATCTTCTTGAAGTGAAGAACAGTAAAACTTTAATGCTTTGGCTTTTCATGCTGGGTCACACAGTGGTGTGCCAAAGTATACGTGAAGCCACAGTGTAAACAAAGTTCATCTTCCTACAGCATCAATTTTGATAGAATTTGTATGTGTGTGTGCAATGTACAATACCTGTAAGAACTAAAACCATTATTTTTATATTAAACATATATATTGTGGAACAGAATGCAAAATGTCACATAAGTTGAAACTCCTTTCCTCAAAATAAAAACACAGACCATTTAGGAATCAAACCTAGACCTCCCACATTGCAGGCAGATTCTTTACCATCTGAGCCACCACGGAAACCCTTTTTATTATTAGATCAGCTCAAATTTAACTACCGAATTCAAGTCCCTGATTCAGAGCTACAATATGCCCCCACATTTAAGGGCAGAGAGGAAAACTTCATGGGTACGGACATTATCCAGTAGTGAACAATGGGGAATCAGCATTGCAGGAAGTTCATTTTCAGATGAAGTAAGAGGAAACTGGGGAAGGGAGGAGTTAGGAAACTTAAAATGCAGAACTTGGCTGAAGAACTTAGTACAATATATTGACTCAGTTGAGACATTTATAGATGCCTATTTTCCCCATGTTCTCTACTGGGTAGTCCAAGAGTTCATTAGGCACCTCCCCTACCCTCTAGGAATTCATCAGCTAGTGATGGGTGTTGAAAAACATAACTGTGCCATTGCTACAACGAAGGGTGTACCACAAGAAACTGGACCACTGGAAAAGTCCCTAACTTAGTTCGCATCTTAGAGGAGGCAACAGATCAGCTTCTGGCTACATCTTGGAAAATGTATAGGTATTTTCTGTCTGTAGGTAGGTAAGAAATATTTCAGGAAATTGAAATATGAAATGTGTGGGAAATCAGAGTTAGACACAAGTTTACATTCTTGATTGTCATTATGAACACCTAAGTCCCTGGAGAGGAAGGAGCCCGTTTCTTCAGCTTTGGTATCTTCAGCGGTGTAGCTCAGCACTGTCCCTGCATACAGTACCACGTTTATGGTTTTGTAAAGCTGAGCCAGAGAGCTGATTATGACAAAGACAACATGTAGCTGACGCCTCCTCATTTAAAAAACATACATTGAATTCAGGTTTAATTGTAGGAACAGAGTTATCCAGAAGGGTGAATCCCAGTTCCTGGCTTTGGGTGCTCAGTTGAGTGAAGGAGTCAGTCAAGCAGACAGGCAACTAGAGTACAGTGTGAGAATGCTTTGAAAGCCACGCCTCAGAGCTCTTACTGCACCCAAGAATGGGCCTATTCCCATACGGAAGGTGATGTGAAGCTGGCCTCAAAAACTGAGTAGAGATTTGAATGACATGTAGGAGGTAACCTGAAAGAGGGCAAGCACTACACTAGAGGCACCATCATGCAGAAAGGTATGATACATTTGGAGAGTAACAAGTTAACTATAGGCTTAAGGTAGGAGATAAGTCTGAGAGGTGACTGAGGCCAGGTCATAGAAGGCCTTTGTGCCAGGATATAAGCTTGGATTTTATCCAGCAAAGCTAATGCTGAATCACTGTAATGCTGGCTTCAATCAGGGTTTTCAGAGCTACGTTGTAAAACATAACTGAGTTGTAAAGTCACCAAGTCTCAACTTGGTGAGTTGGGACCCTCATTTTAAAAAAGTAAACTAGAAGAGAGTAGACAGTATCAGTGCACATATTTATAAATAATGTGATGCTTTTGTTTCAACAATATATATGTATACACATCAATACTGTGTTCTGATGTAAATGTATTTTGATCTGCGGCTCATAGTAAAAATAATTTTGGAGAAACACTAAAGATTCAACACTACAAAACATTATCAGATTACTTTTGGTAGCAATTCATAGAAAAAACTCAGGCACAAATGGGAATAATCATTAAAGATTCTTATTATATAGTATCTTTTAGTTGTTCTGACCTACCATTTTCAGTATCATCTTCAGCCTTGAGCCAGTTCCCTGTTTATCAGAATAATATGTGATCTTAGTCTTACAGAGCCTGGATTCTCACTGCCTCAAATTATTTAAGACCTCTCTATCTCTGAATCCATCAATAGCCAGGGGGTGGAAGTACCATGACTGCCTTTAGACTAATCTGGGGGGTCTGTTTGGGAATCAACCCACTACAGGAAACTGTAACGCAAGGTGGTAAACTCAGTGCATTATGGAAATACTGTAGTGGCACCTAGGGTCACTAAGTAATAAACGTAAGTTTGGAGATGGTCAGAGCAGTCACCCAAGAGATGCCAAAAGTGTGTGTACAAGTCAGGTAGGTAAAAGGCAGAGAGTTCTCTGGGTGGTAGATGAATAAAATGTATTAAGGGAAGCCACGCACAGGGAAGTGCTAAGTGTGTCTGACTCTTTGTGATCCTATGGACGGTAGCCTGCCAGGCTCCTCTGTCCATGGGGATTCTCCAGGCAAGAATACTGGCATGGGTTGCCATGCCCTCCTCCAGGGAATCTTCCCAACCCAGGGATCCAACCTGTGTCTCTTATGTCTCCTGCATTGGCAGCCAGGTTCTTTATCACTAGCGCCACCTGCGAAGCCCAAGTATAGGGAAACCTCTAAGACTCTGGAACATAAAATTAGAGACAAGAGAAGTTGGAGCAATGAGCAGATGCCTACTCACTGAGGAGAATCACAGTAAGGAATGTGGACTCCTTCCCTATTGGAAAAGAAGAGCAGAGAATTAAGACAGCAGATCCCTATCACTATGGCTGCAGTGTGGGGGGAAGTAAATCAGGGGGCTGTGGGAGTAGTCCAGGAGAGAGGTCTTGGATTTCAGACTAGGGAGGTGTGTTTACAGATTTGAGAAATACTATGGAAATAAATTTCACATGATGTGCTAATTTTACTGCAGAAAATGAGTGTAACATAAGTCTCTGACTTTCGTAGTAGTTTCCTTTGGATATTGGGCTTACACTGCCATTGATCTATTGAGACTAGAGTAAATTTGTTATGTTTTGAGGAGAATGGGCATAACTTGTGAAGCTGGAGCCTGAACAGAGAATCTTTGCAAGTAGGAGGGAATTTTTAGTATATATGGGCCTCTCTTGGGAGTTTGGAGTTTACTAAACAGGCGCCAGCATGGATCTGGGGTCATACTCCACCTATTTAGGTGAAGACTTGCCATTTATAGGCTTGATTAGTGAAACTGCTACACTGTTATTTCCCTGGTGTTATCACAGTGTTTGTGTTCCGTCCAGTCCAATTCTGCGACCCCATGGACTGCAGCCCATGAGACTGTCCATGAGAATACTGGAGTGGGTTGCCATTTCCTACTCCAGAGGATTTTCCCAACCCAGGGACTGAACTCTTGTCTCTTGCACTGGCAGGGGAGTTCTTTACCACTGCACCAATCCCCGAGCCTTTAGTAAATGCTTTAGGATTCACGTACTCTATCTATTATATAGGCTAAAACTGTTAAGGGGAAGTAGTGTCTCTTGAGACCACTGTGGCACTGGACATGGCCCATCAGGCTGTGAGCTCCCTGATGGCAAAGGTTGTTTCTTCTCAATTCTATATCCTAGTATGTAGCCCAGGGCCCGACATATGGCTAACACTTGTTAACTAGTGTATCCCTAGTGCCTAAAATGATGCTGAGTACTAGCAGATGCCGAATAAAACACTTGAGGAACTACTGAAAGCCCCAAAGGAAGGTATATTTTTGGGGCCTAAGAGGAAAAGATATGAGAGTCCAGTCATAACCCACCTGTTACCAATACCTAAAGATGTGGTTTTAATTTTAAGGAAAGTATTTTCTCTAGGAGTCAAGACTGACTCCAAGATATCTGGCTGAGGGCAATGAGTTAGTGCCAAAAAGACAGAAAGGGGGCAAATTTTTTTGGAGAAGCATTCAGAGTTAAATGTTTAGTCAATAAATGTTCTAAGTGCCTACTATGTGTCACTCAAAATATAACATCAGAAAGAGCTTTTTTGTAATAGTGTAGAAGACCAACTGGAGTAGAGTAAAAGAGATGAGACCTCTGTTCGGTGCAGATCAGTTTCTCAGACTTAGGCAGCTGTCCTAAAACAGGACCAGAGTAGCGCTCACCGAGGCTAGTATCTGTCTGCTAGACTGGTGAGCTCTCTACCCGCAATGTTATTATCTCAAACAGTGTATGGGTTTGGTGGGGCCAAATACCCTCTGAAGGTCTGCCCTAAGATAAAAATCTTTTTTCCACTGTACTAGCAATCTGGGATCTGCTAGGCCCTGCAATCCCGTGTTCGTGCAGGGATGATAGCTCCAAGACTTCCGATGACTATTTCCCAAGTGAAGCCTCTGAAAGTGAGGGATGGGCAGCCTGGCTGGGCCCAGTCTGGCTTCACTGTTCCTAGTGCACATAAAGAAACTTCCTACTTCTCACATCCCCTGACCATTCTGAAGCCGGATATCCTTCTTCCAAGTTCCCAGAGAGGCCCAGATTTGACAACAATGAAAACTTCCAGGAAATTCCCACGGATTTAACTTCCTAATTTTCCTTCCACTTCAACCTTCTCCTTCACCCCTCCATTCCCACCCCAAGAGGAAGGAGCTTATCCTGCAGTCAACATCCTCTGCTAAATGCTTCCACTCTCCTCGCCAGGTTGGTGATCCTCTCCTCTGAAGTCCATTCAGGGTTTGAGGGGAGCACTTGAGGGTAACATGTGATCCTGTTCAGAAACAGAGGAATGGAACCTTGAAGGTTCCCAGGGTACCAGATTATCAGGGAAAGTTCACTTCTAGATGTTCACCCTACCACCCTTGTCAGGAAGTAATCTTTAAGAAACCCCAGGGGCTCAGTCTTTATGCTAGATAACAAACTCAATCACCTATGGGGGCCAGTTTGGAATTACAGAATACATGCCCCATATAACCAGGCATTAAGAAAAACAAAACTGTGTTAATTCAACACAACCCAGATTAAGAGCCAGAAACATGCCATGAATTTACTATCTCACACAGACGGATGTGGAGTTCTCATTCTCCAGAAATCCAAAGGGGGGAAACCATCAGTTTACATACATACAATGAATTTTTACCTGCTGTGCAAAGAAAAGGTTATCTGGCTCTCAGAAAGTTCTGGGCTCCAGACTCCAATCAGACAGTCCATTTTACAACTCACGCTCCAGTTCTTAGAGCTTAAAAGAGCTCCCAAGGCCTGTGATCATGGGCAATGATGAGGGCCACATGCCCTCTGGCTCCAGTTAAACCTCTGGTGTTTGAGCTAGGCGGGAACTGTGGGTGCTTGCTTCCTGGTCCTGCCGCAGCCCCTGAAGCAGCTGGTTTAGGAGTGTAAGGTTGCTGTCTCTGCGTGGCAGGGGCAGGGGTGGGAGACAGTTCCCTTTGTACTCAATGACTGCCATTTTGGCCCGATCCTGCTGATTCCGATTTGGGATCTGCAGCATTCTCGTGTAGCCCCCATTCTGACCTTGGTACCGAGGGGCCAGTACTTGAAACAGCTTTGGGATCAAGTCTTTCTCCTAGAGGGGGAGAGTTTTCCAGGAGAGAGCAGAGTCAGGCACCATTACCGAGACATTAACTTTCAGCATCCCCAACGGTAGGGTCCAAACACACACCCACCCACATCCCTTCCCTCACCCTCTGACTTGGTATTATAAAGTGATCAATTACAGGCAGTTGTGTAGACTGAGATTCACGTTGAAATCAACGTAGGACGTATCTCTAACTTAGGTCACATTTGTCCGCAAATGCGTGTCTTAATTCCGCCCAGTTCCCTTTCCTCTAACAACTCCCTCCCACTTAGGGAGCAAAAAGTAAGATCTGGGAAGTGGACAGGATGCACTCACCGTGAGCCAGAAATCAGCCATGCGCATGGCTCGTTCGTTGGTGTCTCCCAGCTTCCCGTAGTCGATGAGCTGTGAGGACACAACATCACTGACCAAAATCCAAGCAAGAAAGGAGGCGTCAATCTTAATCCTCTAACGCCAGACTGCAACCTAATTCGTTCCATACACTAGTAAAGCACGTCGCTAATTCAGGCTACCTCTAACCACGCAGTCCTAATCAGTTCTCCATTTGGGGCCCCCGGAGTATACCAGGGCGGTGCCAATTCTTCCCCAACTCCAGCCGGATCTCGCCCCCTGAGGCCAGACCTACGAGAGGAACAAGAGGGTCACGCCCCTTACCTTCTCGGCGTAGCCTCTCAGCTCGTCCACGCGTGCCCATGACGCCTCGATGCGTTCGTGTCGCACCAGTCCCGTAAGCAAGTTCTGCAACAGGTGGATGCGGGACTCGGGACCAAGGCCTAGGCGGCGGTATACGCGGCCGTGGGAGATCGCGGCGGCGAACGACAGCCGCATGTTCCCGGCTTCTCCCAGCCCCTGTGAGGCCGGAACTGGAAACTCAGAGACGCGGCCGAGAGGCGGAGCTTAGAGGATACACGCGCCTTACGTAGCAGCATGGTGGACGTGTTTGCGCATGTGTATCAGAGCCTGCCTCGTTGGCAGCCTTGGGGAGGGCGGGGACGGGGCGTTGACCTCGTCCGGAGGAGGAGAGACGGGCGGAGTTTGGTCTAGTGAGCGCTGCTGGTTTGCCCGGGAATCAGGCGCCCCCTAGTGTGGAGTGAGCAGGCCGACGGTTTTTCTGGTGCTGAGACAGTCGTCATGTGACCCCGCGCTGGGACGCTCCGCCAGGAGCTGGCTGGGAGAGTGAGTACCTGAGGGGAGAGAGCCTGGCGGTGTTCAGCCTTCAGGCAGGCGGACCCGCTCTTCCTGAGGCGCGGGGCGTCTGACACGCTGAGCGTCTCATTTTGAAAAGAAAATTGTTTTCAGTAGTAATGGCGAAATGAATGGAATAACAATGATAGGAAAGAAACGGAGATGGTGAAAATTTTCTTTCCTTGAAGTTGTTGACTGGAAAAAAAAAGTACAACGTGAAAGTTGAGAGTTGTTTTATCTAGCAGACAAAACTGAGGACTTGATCCCAGGACACAGTAGCTAAGTCCGAGAGGCTATGGTGGCAGAGGGGGTTGTAGAAGGGGTTTGGGATGGGTGGGAGCCAGAAAATATGAGATTTTGCAGGGAAGACTGGGTAGTTGGAGCATCAAAAGATTACTCTTAAAGAAAGCCAGATATCTCAAGGAATTTAGTGCTTTTCTATGTATGAGAAGATGCAAGAGTCTAGGCTCACTGAGATCTTGTTTTGATATGCACCCCAACTATTTGGGGCTAGTATCCTGTTTTCTCATCCGGAGTCTCCTCAGGTTGCTCCATTCAGTGAGTGGCTGCAGTGTCTGATGATTCACTGGGGAGGGTTATGTTTCTGTCCTGAGTTTCCTTGGGGTTTACTGTGGTGGAGTGGAGGTGGCTGCAGTGGCTGATGGCTGCAACATCATTTGTTTACTGATGTGGCAGGTGACATTTTTAATTCACAAAGTGCATATAACCATCCTAGTTCAAGAAAAATTACTGTGCTCAAAGGAAAAGTAATGATTTAATGTTTCTAAATTCAGTTCAGTTCAATCTCTCAGTCGTGTCCGACTCTTTGCAACACCATGGACCACAGCACACCAGGCTTTCCTGTCCATCACCACCTCCCAGAGTTTACCCAAACTCATGTCCATCAAGTTGGCGATGCCATCCAATCATCTCATCCTCTGTCGTCCCCTTCTCCTCCTGCCCTCAGTCTTTCCCAGCATCAGTGTCTTTTCATATGAGTCAGCTCTTCGCATTATTTTTTTTTAATTATATCACTGTGTTTTTTATCTTAAAAGGGGAAAACATATGTATGCATTTATGTGTTAAAGAAATGAACGATAACATTGTAATTTCTGGTTTTGAGCCTTTGTGTCAGCTGATTTGCAATGACTTAATCAAAATTGTTCCTTGTTTTGTATTCAGATGTGTCCCCCGCAAAAGAAATATATGCTAAGTCCTACCCCACCCCCACACATCCTGTATCTCCTTCACCCAATACCTCAGGATGTGACTTTCTTTGGAAATAGAGTTCTTGCAGATGTAATTGGTTAAGATGAGGTCATACTGGACTAGTTCAGTTGCTCAGTCGTGTCCCACTCTTTGCGACCCCATGGACTGCAGCTGGACTAGGGTGGATGCCTAATCCAAAATGGCTGGTGTCCTTGTAAAAAGAACACTTGTGAAGAGACAGAGACACACAAGGAGAATGCCATGTCACCAGGAAGGCAGAGATCAGAGTTGTCTAATGCAAGACAAGGATTTCTGGCAAACATAAGAAACTTAGGAGCAAGTGAAACTGTCAAGTGTCCTGTTGGGAGGCTCTGAAGAGTTGTGATCCTTTATGTCTCAGTGCAGAAAGAATTCAGCGAGAGAAAAAGTGAAAGATAAGAACTGGCTTATTAGAATAGGACGCTTGTGAGACTTATAAGCAGGCAGATACGAGGTTGCTGCACCCCAAGAACTTACTGGGCTACAGTTTTATAATCAAAAAAGTGAGGAGGAGAAGAAGACTTCCTTGTCATTCTTGAGTAGGGGTCATGCTTCCATCATTTGTTCCTCCTCCAAGGGAAGTTTTCTTGTCCCTACATGTTCAAACTAGGTTCACAAATTATTGTTTTTTATGTGTGCACAGAGCATGTCCTAACTTACTGAGTTCATTGGTCAGGATGTGGGGCTCATGCTACCATTGTTTTTTTGTTTGGGGTCATGTCTCTTACTTCTGTTACGTGGTTTTGTTGCTAAGCAAGCCTGCTTGGTTTTGTGGTTAAGCAAACCTGCTTTCTTGAGTAATCATTAACTGACAGAGGTCTCCCATATTTTCTACTGGCAATCCCCTAGTGGGATTAACTATTTAATCACCTACTTCTTTCCTTTACTCTGTCCCTGTCACAAGATATGGAAGATTCTTCCTTAGATACTTCAGAGAATACTTGGCCTAGCTGACAAGTTGATTTTGGACTTCTGAACTATAAGATAGTAAATTTCTGCCCAGTTTGTAACATTTTGTTACATAAGCCCTAGACACATATTCATGTTTGTTAGAAAGCATATTTATATTTGTCATTCTGTTTTCCTCTTAGATAAACAGAGAACACTTCTTGTTAATTTTAATTTTGAAAAATTTCTTTAGTCTGAAGCAACAATTATGCAAATAGGAAAAGTCTTAAACATATGGACATGTTGGCAGAAAATTATACAAACCACAGTTCACAATAAATTCCAGAAGTTGCAATATTCTCTATGTCTCATTTATTTGGGATTAATTCTTGCAGCTTTCAGTTATCTCTCCATTTCACTATAACATCATCATCAGAAAATTCATTCTAAATTTCTACTGGTAAAAATTGGGTAGATTTTCTTCTTTTCAAAATTCAGAGAAATTGAACATTGACACTGGTGTTATTTGATCCGTTGCTTTAAAAAAGGATATCCACATGGGTGAAAATGTACAGCATCAAACATTGTCCTTATTCATTTAGGTTGGTGCAAATGTAATTGTGGTTTCGGATCACAAATTTTGAATCATTATAACTAGGCTCAAACACATCTTTATTAATCAAAATATGAACCAATACAATCAACACATTTTTGCCAATGAGGGGTAAGTTTATTTATTCCTGTAGTGTAAATATCTGTGCTTTGGGATTGGTCAAACTCCTGGAAAGCATTTTGCGCCTCCTGCTGGTTGTGGAAGCGTTTTCCCTGCAGAAAGTTTTCGAGATGCTTGAAGAAGTGATAGTTGGTTGACGAGAGGTCAGGTGAGTATGATGGATGAGGCAAAACTTCACAGCCTAATTCATTCAACTTCTGAAGCATTGGTTGTGCAGCATGTGGTCAGGTACTGTCATGGAGAAGAATTGGGCTCTTTCTGTTGACCAATGCCAGCTGCATGTGTTGCAGTTTTTGGTGCAACTCATCTGTTTCCTGGAAGGACTGATGCTGAAGCTCCTGATGCAAAGAGCCAACTCATTAGAAAAGACCCTGATGTCGGGAAAGATTGAAGGCAAGAGGAGAAGGGGACGACAGAGGACGAGATGGTTGGATGGCATCACCAACTCTATGGACATGAGTTTGAGCAAGCTCCAGGAGATGAAGGACAGGGAAACCTGGCATGCTGCAGTCCATGTGGTCTCAAAGAGTCAAACATGACTGAGTGAGTGAACAACAAATCAATTTGCTGAGCATACTTCTCAGATGTAATGGTTTTACTGGGATTCAGAAAGCTATAGTGGATCAGACTGACTGTAGACCATAAAACAGTGACCATGGCCTTTTCTTGGTGCAAGTTTGGCTTTGGGAAGTGCTTTGGACTTCTCGGTCCAAGTACAGAGCTGGTCATTGCCAGTTGTTATATAAAATCCATTTTTCATCACACATCACAATCTGATTGAGAAATGGTTTGTTGTTATTGCATAGAATAAGAGAAGATGACACTTCAAAACATCGATTTTTTGTTTTCTGGTTAGCTCATGAGGCACCCACATACCGACTTTTTTCACCTTTCCAATTTGCTTCAAATCCCAAATGACTATAGAATGGTCGACGTTGAGTTCTTTGGCAACTTCTTGTGTAGTTGTAAGAAGACCCACTTTGATGATGGCTTGCAGCTGGTCATTGTCAGCCTCTGATGACTGGGCAATACACTCCTCATCTTCCATGTTCTCATCTCCTTTGCAAAACTTCTTAAACCACCACTGCTCTGTACATTTGTTAGCAGTTACTGGGCCAAATGCGTTGTTGATGTTGCGAGTTAATCTCCTCTGCTTTACAACCCATTTTGAATTCGAATGAGAAAATCAATCGAATTTGCTTTTTGTCTAAAATCTTTTCTGTAGTCTAAAATAAGTATAAAATAGACAGCTGCTGCTGCTAAGTCACTTCAGTTGTGTCCAACTCTATGCGACCCCATAGACGGCAGCCCACCAGGCTCCGCCATCCCTGGGATTCTCCAGGCAAGAACACTGGAGTGGGTTGCCATTTCCTTCTCCAATGCATGAAAGTGAAAAGTGAAAGTGAAGTTGCTCAGTCATGTCCAACTCTTAGCAACCCCATGGACTGAAGCCCACCAGGCTCCTCCATGGGATTTTCCAGGCAAGGGTACTGGAGTGGGTTGCCATTGCCTTCTCCAAAAATAGACAGCAAGTAATGTCATTAGCAAAAAACCATAAAGCAAGAAATGCACATTAAAATGATAGCTAACATAACCACATCTATTTAAGAATGTATTCCAATATCAAATGGTAAATTTCAGCAGTGCAAACCCACAATTACTTTTGCACCAACTTAATATTTTTTGTCTGTATGAGACTGTCATCTCTTGTTTGTTCTGGCAGTTCTCATATTTGGATTCTTTTTGTCTATGTCACTTTCCTTACATTATGTTG